ATACTTTGTTCGTATAAAAATATGTCAAAGCTCGTGTTATCAGGCCCAGACAGAGGGGCCCTGGGCACATCCTGAAAATTGGTAAGAATAAACCCGTCTCTCTGGCTAACTGTTCATCTCAGTTCCTGTTGTAAATTTCTGCATCTATCTGAAACAGAGGCAGGCTTTTCAAAGAAGCTTGAGCAGACACATCTGTGCCTTAACTAGTATCATCAGAAGGGCGATGACAGCGATGACAAAGCCCCTGCTGCAGACCCGGGGACTGCGTGCAGGGGTCTCTCATCCATCTCGCCAGGCTGCGTCCCCCAGCGGAGGCCCTGGCAGCACCCCCTGACCCTCAGCTCCTCCCCGTCCCAGATTCAGGCACCCGATGGCCTCCCTTAACCTTCCAAGGGGCAAAGAGAAATTATGCCAGTTACCTGACTCTTGGGACCACCTGTTCCAAATTATTCTTCGCTCTCCAAATGTTTATAATCTAACTCTCAAACGACGACCCACCCATAGCGGTCCAGCACCTTCCAGTAAACTTGACTTGGACTGCCTCCCGTAACGTTTTAGGGCCTCGCCACTGCCGATAAGTTTATTGACTCTCTTTAGGAACTGAAATGCGTGGTGCTATAGCACCTATCGAAGGAACAAATCAAATTAGCCCTTGTAAGTAAACAGTCCTTTTCCTTTCCAGAACCATACACAACCTGCCGAGTATCACGACTCGGAAAGCCTTAGAGGGCTGTGCTTTCTAGATACCTAAAGTGTTGGGGTTTTTTCCTATTCAAAACAACAAGGCATTTCAGGGCAAAGTCAGAAAATAATTGTGTTCCACACACTTCAAATCCTCCAAAGGCAGCATTTCTCTCTGCAAGGGGAACAGGGGCAGAAATGTTCTCTGGGCCAAGTGTTTGTAGCGCATGGGGCAGGCGGACGTCTGAAGGCCTAAACTCTGGTTTCACTTAGTCTGTTGCCTCTCACGAGGCATTTGACTTAAGACCAGTTTTCTCGTTAACAAAACTGGAAGAATAATAATAATAAATGCCTAACGCAAAGGGTTGTTGTGAGAACACATCCTAAAAACACATGTCTAAGAGCTGACTTCAGGCCTGGCATACAAATGCTCAATAGCTGGCTTCTCCTCTTGTCATTATCATTAACACAAGGATGTAATTAGCAAACGGAAAGGAATGGCAAAGGGTGAAAAAAGAGGCAGCAAAGATAAATTGGAAAGCCTGTGGCCTTTTTCATCCTCTTTCCCCTAAAGACAGGTACTTTCCCACACTGAAACTGATTTTAAATCACACGCAGTGAAGAACAGGTCCCCTGCCCTTCTGATTCATTGGCAAGAAGGGAAGTGGGTCTGAGTCAGTTACTCTAAGTATCTGCCACCTGATCGAGGGGGTGCGCCTCCCATTAGAAGGGGTGTTACTCAAACACCATTAGGCCAGTTGAAGAGCTTCAAACAGCGAAAACGAAGCACTGTCTGGAATTCTCCGCTAATTGTTTCCCTCCCAGAATCTTCTTTCTGTTTTGTGTGTTTGGGACTGTTTGAACTGCCACAGATGATGGGCGGAGGGTGGGGGTGGGCTCCCCAGGAAGCTGTTATGATATCGGGGGATGGGCATCAGGGAGGAAGGTGGGGAGCTGGGGAGTGTGTGTGAGTGTGTATGTGTGTTTTCTGTCAACAGGCTGTGTTTTCTCAGCTCTGGGGTTAATTTTCTGAAAGAGATTCCTTTTGAGCGGAGTCCACCAACACCTTTTACCGAGCAGGCTAGCTAGGAGAAAAGTTTTCTTCCACTAACAAAACCAGACTTGGCAAGAGTCGGAAGGTTCAGCCTTTGGAGGTAACTGAATAACCAGCCACTTCACATCCACAAACTCCACAGATAAGAACTACATAATTAGGTGAATTCCACCTTTATATAAAATCTTTGGGGAGGAGGTTCTCCTCTCTTGCAAGGAATTAATTCATGTCTTCCCACCCGGCCTACACACACACACACACACACACACACACACACACACTCTACTCAACACTCAAATATACATCACATGCACCTCTGACCCGGGACCGCTGCCTAATACTTACCCTTTTACTTCTTCCCCAAGCATTTTTACATTAACAAGGCCTACCCAGCCAAAACAAAACCTCGCCCCAGTTGTAACTTCCACCCGTCCCCTTCTAGACGACAATGCTCCGTTCGCGGTGTGCGTGGATACTCAGGGACAAGCAGACACCGAAACAAGATACTCCCCACTCCCTTCATTCGCTCCTGACAGCCCCGGGCTCTCCCTCTGCCCAGAGAGGCATCTGTCAGGAGCGGCTGGGAACCCCACTTATGCACCATAACGGTCTGCGATTTTATTATACAAGGAGTTTATTGCTGGCCTAATTAGTTTCAAACTGGGCATTCCAGCTGAGGACACCTAAAAAACATCTGGTGGAAGGAGTGAGAAGGAGTCCTCGCTCCGAGCTGGTTACGGTTGGATTTCTGCATAGCTCGGCTCTCCTGCACCAGACACAAGTTATCTTTGGAAAAGTAACTGAAAAAATAAGGAAACAGTTTCTCCTTTGTGGGAAAGGAGTCATCTTGTCATGGGGGAACCAAAAACGGCTTCAAGCGGACGTGCCTGGACGGTGTGGACTTTTTCGCAAGTTGCCGGGATCTCAGTTGCTTGCTCAAACCTAATTCAAGTGTGCTTAGCTACACCACGGGGCGTTTTTGCTGAGGACTTTTTTTCATTCTTCCCACAGCAGCTAGCATTTTATCAATTTATCCGTCTGGAACAAGGTTTGCAATCTCGTACATGCAATTGAAAGCAGAAGCAATACCCCAGAGTTGAAACAGCGTGTCTTGGGTGTTTTTGCCAAATGGTAATCCTATAACAAGTCAACAAATCATATCGCTTTATGATGTGTTTAATACACAGCAAAAGGCATGAAAAGAAGATTCGAAAACTTAAGTGATTAAAGCGGTCTGTTTCCTAAAATTCCCAAAGTAGTGGGATAACATCTTCATTTTATTTATTTTATTTCCCTCCCTTTAGTTATTTAATATTTAGGAAACAGATTTATGTGTTTATAGAACATTCCATATACACAGCCACTACACTAGGTGAGCTATTTCAAGATGGAGGGGGAAAGGGGAATTCTTTTGAGATAAAATAATAATATCGTGAAGCTTAAGTTGCAAGAGAAGAATGGAGTAACTATTAACTATGTATGGGACAAATGAACTCATTAAAAGGTTCAGGCCCTTTCAAATCTAGCCTGCCTTGGTCAAAATTGCAAAATTTGGAGTTTCCTCCAGAGGGCAAGGAGATTTCAAATATAAATACAATTTTATGTGTAGTCAAAAGCAAGATTCAAACCATCCTCATTTGTTATATAAAATTTTTATTAACTTTCCTTAATCTGAGGATGTCTAAATGCAAGGAAGCATAAAGTTTTAGGGGTTTGTTTAAAGTGATGGGGAGAGGAAAGTGGGGGAAAAAATGGGTAAAGTTGCCTGAAAGATTTTTTTCACCAAGGTTATTTTTTAAAGGGAGGCTCCTCTCTCTCTTCCCCCAAATAGGCCATCCACAGGTAATAGAGCTGCTAGCTCAGAACTCATGCTAGTAGCAGAAATTTTACTCAAGCAAGAAAGGGCTCATGAAATTAATACATTCGGTTTGAAATACAACAACTGTCCACTGGTCATAATTTCCTTTGGAAGGGAGCTCCCTAACTCAAACATACTTCAGCACTCAAATTCTGGCTTGATGTTTGTAAATCATTCCACCTCCCCTCTGCTCTGGCGAACAACTCCCCATTCTGATGGTCGCTATTTCACTGCACCTCGTAATTAAAAGGTACCTTCACCAGGAGTGATTTATACCTCAACGTTATACCAAAAAAAAAAAAAAAAAAAGAGTAATTAAAGATTATGTAGCATTTCTGGGAAAGGGGGAAGAAAAGAAAATAGTATTCATAAAAATGAGGCATCAGTTTTGTTTTTTTTTTTGAAAAGAAATAATTCAGAAGGCAGCAGCGCGCATGCTTGTCACTCTTAGCCGAGGCTTCGCTTGGGGGTGACAGGGACCTCAAACCGCTAAAGCGCCTCACTTTCAACAGCTGAGAAATGCGCATTGAGGGTTTTGTGATGCCAGTGTTTTTTACCAGTCAAGCTTTCCTAGCATTCCTGAGCTGATAAACTATTTATCTGGGGGCAGGAAATATACTTAAGAGCTAGGGCCAGCACGGCCCTTTTACCTCCAGACCTCATGACCAAAAAAACAATTCCATTCTCTACTTTCTCCCATTACAACAAAATTCTCTCCCTCTTCTAAGCATCCTTTGGATGTGAAGTTTTTTAAGTTTCAGTCCCAACTTCAGTAAGCGCCAGGAAGCCAGCTCCGGTACAAAGTCCTGAGAGCTGGCCAGCGCAGGCCGAGCGCAGACTGGATTTAAAAAAGAAATGTAGCCTCAAGGACAAGGCTCAGCGGGCCGTTCCAGCTCGATCCCCGGGATCCGAGCGACTGCTGCTCAGTTACCCGATAAAAAGCGCCCGGGGGCGTGTGTTGGATTCCGGCTCCCGGTGCCTCTTCGGTCCGATCGGGGGAGCGCCCTTGATCGCGAACCACCCGAGCCATAAAACTAACCAAACGCACAGTTCAGACGCGTCTATACCGCTTGCGCGCCATGCACTTGTCCCGCGCCCGGGAGTGCAAACTTCAGGGTCGCTGCCCCACAAGCGCATGGGGAAACTGAGGCCCAGACCCTGGGACGGACTTTCTCGAGAGAGGACCTGCCTGCTGTTCCCCCCTGACCTGATGCCGAGGAGCCCTGGGAGCCCCGGAAGCCCTGGGCGCCCGGATCCGGCCCGTGCGTCCCCGAGCGCCCCGACAGCTGCAGAGGCCCGGGTCTGGCAAGTGCCGCAGAGAGGCGACAGGCTAGGGGGTCCAAGTCCACCCCGGCCCGGCGAATCCCGGCGGGCGGTCCGGGGGCGGGCGCCGCGGGATGTACTCACCGCGCGCAGTGGAGAGGGCGCCCCGGCGCGGTGCCGGCTGGCGGACCTGCGGATGCGGGTCCGAAGCGGTGGGGCGACTGCGGCGGGCACGTTGCCGCCTCTGCTGCCGCCGTTGCCTCCGCCTCCTGGGCTGCAGCGGCTGCTGCTTGAGCGGGGAGGACCGGCCCCTTCCCCTCCTAGGGCCGAGCCCTCCCTCTGCCCCCGCCCGGTCCCCGCGCCGATGCGTGGGCGCGTGGGGGCGCCGAGGCGCGGCGCTGGGCTTGGCGGGCGCACACCTCTGGCGCCTGGACGCGGGGCGCGGGGCTCCGGCCCTGCAGCTGCCGCCGCGCTGCTCTCAGCGCCTGCAGCCCCGCCGAGCGCGCTCGCTCCTGCCGGTCCTGAAGGAGGCGAGGGCCCAGCCTCCTCCCCACCCACCGACACCCCACACCTCCTCCCTCTGAACCCAGGCACGGCCTCTGAGAAAGGAAAGACTGCTTGGAAGGAACCTCAACAATTACACCGAATTCATTCATTCATCCAGCTCTTCATTTAACGTATATTGTTTGCTCTCCCAGGTACAGCACCTGGGAGGTTCAGCTAGAACAAGATGGACTAGTTTTCTGCCCTCCTGAAACTTACATTCACATGGGAACACAGACCATAAGCAAACAATCAAGTTAGGAATCAAGACAATTTCAGAAAGTTATCGTTACTGTGGGTGGGGATGAGGGCGGGCGGGGGAATTCTGTGCTCTGACAAGGGGACTACGATCTTGGAAGACCTCTCCGAGGTTGTGGCACCTGAATTACAGAACGTGCCATGGCTGGCGGTATCTGTGGGAGGAGGGCTCAGGGATCCCCTTTCACCCATTTTACAAATTGGGAAACTGAGGTCCCCAAAACCTAACTGGCTTACCCAACGTCAGTGGTATAACCTCCTCCGCACACGCCCTCGAGTTAGAGCGCCCGCTTACCCATTCTCTCGTGACCACCGCCTTCAACCTTCCACACAATCAAGTGGCTTGAACAGAGTCTGTGTAGCGTTTTTTCTCCCTCTCGCCCTCTTTCTAATGTTTACGAACGCTGCTGCGGGACACCTAGGATGCTTCGGTCCAAAAACAATACCAGCACTGCCATTTGTTAAGCTCGATAAAATGCAGGATATGCCCGGATAAATCTGGATTTCACAGAAACGAGGAGTGAATTTCAGTATAAGTAATGTCCGATGCGATCCGTGGTACATACTTACACTCAAAAAGTATTCACGGGTTCTCTGAAGTTAAATTTAACTGGGTGCCTTATTTTTATTTTTCTTTGCTAAATCTGGCAACCCTAAGCCCCACCCTTCCTTATTTCCTCTAATCCCTCAAAGAGACTGAAATGTAGAAGCTGGGAGCCTGCCCCTTTTACAAATGATCGAGTCTAAGTTCAAAGAAGGCAGAAAGCGGCTGAGCCAGGGCTGAAATTCAGGTCCAGCTGACTCCAAAGCCCTTGATTTTGAGATAATGATATAGAGCCCTCAACTCCGGTTGTAGGGTTACTGGGAAGCTGATGAAACCTAAGCCCCTGAGCCCCGTGCTTGCTGGGCCCCTTTTGAAGGCCTGGACGGGGGCCTAGAAATGTGTTCGCATGGTCACTGGTTCATGTAAAATGAACAAAAATAATTTGCTTTTGACATTTAACAGCAATCAGCAGAAAACGCCATCTCTTTCCACTTAGATGCCTTGCTGTAGCACTTGACCTTGAGTAGGTCGGTGTGGAGCGGCCACTGGCCTTTTGGGGATGCAGCCAAGGGAAAGTTCATTTGGGACTTCGTGATGTTTGTGGTGTCTTTCAGCTTCTTCAGACCTGAATTTGTTGTGATTTCTTAATTGAAAGAAAAAGTTACTTTTGTACCTTAATTTTGGACTCATAATTTTTCTTAAGTAAGCCTCCCCCAAATAATATATGCAGTAGGCCCCTCTATACCTGGATCCATCTCTGGTCACAGCTTATTCCAACCCCTTACTACTCCCAAAACATAGGAGAAGCAAATGTATTCCGTCAGCACGGGCATTCTCCCATGAGCCAGGTAAGGGGCAGGCCTGCTGCTTCTGGATGAGGGTGGTTCTTCTGCTTTCTAAGTGTAGAGCAGACATAGGTACTTGGCCTTGATTTTCTCATCTCTAAAATGAAGATAAAAGGACCCATCTTGTATTATTTACTGGGACAATTCCCTGAGATCTTGTTCGTAAAACACTCCTATGACTATTGCTGGCACTAGCAGTTGCTCTGGTATTATGACCGTCCACACGACCTCATTGCCCATGATACCTTTGCAAAAAGCTTCCAGCCATTATCAATGGAGCAACTGAATGCTCTCCAGGGGTATTTATCATATCTTGGCCCATAAGCCTTAGTGTAACGTTGTTTAAACAGCGTTACTAGGCAGAATTTGTTTCCTGGAATGAATAGAATGAAAGAGACTAGAATAGAAAATACCAAGTGAATTACATGCACTAAGAATGTGTGTGTGCGCATACTGGATCAAGATGTGAAATGTATTTCTTTTTGCAGATCATGGGGACAATGTTGAAGTACATTTACTAACTAGGGATAATCTATGGAATACAAAGGGTTAATCGGTTTCCTTCCAACCCTTTTACTCTTTCACCAGGATCTGTCCCATTATCTCATAATCGCAGCCACACCCCTGAGAGATCAACAGGAGGCAGGTGCTTATTAATTTTATTTTTCCTTCTCTTAGGGCAGTGATTCTCAACCTTGGCTGTACATTAGAGTCTCCAGGGGAGCTTTTAAAAATCCCCGAGCTGGAGCCACACCCCAGACCAATTAAACCAGACTCTGGGGGAGGGACGGAGGCATCAGTACTTTGTAAAGCTCCCCGGGTGATTCCAGGGTGCAGCAGAGAGAGGGCGAGAAGCCCAGCCTCTCGGGGAATAAGGACTTGACCCCAGATTCACGGCAGACGAGGCAGAAGCTGAGACAGGACGTAAGGCTCCCAATGCTTGGTCAAGACCCTGAACTCCATCCACCTTCCTATGTAAGATTACCCCCTTTTCATCCCTTTCTTTCCCTTGATTTTTTTTCTTGTTAAGTCTTTGGGCTCATTTTATAATGATCCCAGACAAAGTTTGAAAATGCTAAACCATGAAACAGATTCTTTGGAGTGTAGACCACAGGCATGCCTACCCCGAAATAAACCACTTTTTCCCCAGAGTCTTCCAAGTAAATATCCTCTGAAGCCAGAAGACCAGCCTACCCTTGAAAACTACAAATTTCACAATGTATCCAATGTACATATACATATCCTACAAACACACGTGTATCCTCCATGCCAAAATCATGCCTTATTTCTATACACATTTCTTTCCCACGTGCAAAGACCTCCGCTACGGAAAAAGTACTCCATTTAAAAAATGTGTTTATTTAAACCGTGGCTCTTTCCAAAAAGAATTTGAGGTGGCATGCAAAAACATATATATATGGCAGCAGAAAAAAGAAAACAAGAAAAACAGTGAAGGGGAAACACGGGGAGGAAAAGATGAAAGTCAAGGGTGAGGTTTACGCATAAAATGTGGGCTAGGAGGACTGAGACTTAGGTGCTGAGCTTCCTGGCAGCCAATGCAAAGAAGAAAATGTGATCAATTGCATTAGTGCCTTTCCAACTTTCTTTTATTGAAAAGTAAGCATGTTGTTCCCACTTCAGTGGCACATGCAAGGAGGGACACACAAAAAATGGTATTATCTTCTGGAGGGTAGGCCCCTAGCAGTACAGGCTTCCCCAGCTAGGTGGTTGCTCATGGAACCCATCAGTATCAGGATACCAGCAGGCATTGTTGCGAGAGGCCGCGTGTGGCTTCAGTGAATTTCTTTTGAAGAATTTCAACGCGTTTGCCCATTTTGGGATTTATGAGCGTACCTGTCCAAATGGTGCTGAGTGTTCAGCAGTGTTCGACCAAAAACCGCATGTATATCTCTCTTCCATAAGCCCTATCCCCAAAATACAAATGCAGCGTATGTTGAACATATCCCTAGTAAACAGGTTCCCAATAGACGGCCTCTTTGTTTTTAACACCTGAACTTCAGGGAAGGCACATTTTCATAAACTTTGGACCAGTATTCATAAAGAAAAACATATACGTGAATCCTCAAAACTCAATGTAACATTTCCATCAAAATAACACACAGGGAAAGTAACTTTTCAACTACTGTTGAGAGAACAGTCGAACATGTTTTGAAAAGTGCACCCAAGAAGCAAAGAAGGGGACGTGCCATGGGATGTGGCCGCGTCATCACATACACATCAACTATTTGTTGAAAACTTTCGTGCTCATCTGGTGCTCAGGAAGCCAGGCCGTAAGCATTTTCTGTCCTAACAAGCTACTTTGATACTTGGTAAGCATTTTCAGTGTTTAGTTCCATCATAGACAACTATTTCGGGGCTTGGGTTGACATGTCATACATTAAAATTTTTTTCCATTTAAAATCACAAGAAACCAAGTCTTGGGTGTGTTTTTAGGCAGAGCATCAGAATTTCAGGATCACCAGGGGTCACTGGGAGACACTCATTGCCACATGGGGAGGGACCTTCCGGGCACCCGTACAGGCCGTCCTCCACCCGCACCTCCCCTCCAGACAGGCCCTGCCTGACCGCTCTGCCCAAATGAGCATCCTCAGCCAGCACACGCATTTATCATCACTCCCCAACACTACATCACACATGTAGCCGTTTAACCGCCCACTGTTTGTATCCCCCACCAGAATATCAGCTCCATGTGAGCAGGGACTTGACTGTTTTTACTCATGGCTACGGCCCTGTGCCTGGAACAGTGCCTGGCACGCAGGGAGGGACTCGATACAATAGTGGATGAATGAAGACAAAATACAAATGAAACAATATGGCTTTGGATGCTGCCCCACATCACCACAGTCATGCTGCCCTCTCTCATGTCCTTTAGCACCCCTCCTGAAATAAACAAACAGGAATAAAAGTGACCGAGAAGCCAGTTCTTCTGAGGAACCACAAAGAGCTCGAGATAAGGTCAAGGTTGTCTTCTCTTTTTCTTTTATGCTCTCTCTTTCTCTTTGTTCCTCAGTGAAAACCTTGAGCATTCAAAGATGGGGAATGGACGTCTGAGCTAAGGTCCATTCTTCCCT